AACCTACCATCTGCAAGGAAGCAGACAGGTAACCTGGAAAACAACACACAACAGAAAAAACATGTTCAGCCTAAACTATCACAGCCTTCCCTATAGCTTCAGACCTATGCAAATTATCTGCCAAAACGCATAAAGCTCAAGATAAACAAATCTCTTCCACAACTTGGCAGACGGAAAAAGGGTCTGAACCGAAATGATAATTGAGTTTTAGAGACCCATCCATTTGCTGTCATGGTGCCATCTGTCTCCCTGGCAGAATCCTGATAGTTTGCATTGGCAGCTTCGATTGCCAAAGTTCATGTATTAAGTTAGAGTTACCTAGTCTTCCCACACACAGTTTCTTCTCGTTTTTCTATAGGCCTGCTATTCTAGATGATTGACAACAGAACCGCAGGATACTGTGTACTCCCAGAAACATGACATAATCTGATATTTTTAAACTTTTTTTTTTTTTTTTACATCGGAAATACGGATAATTTTCTATTGTGATTTGTAAGCAACCTGCAGAGACCAAGTCCCTCAGAGTCTGACCACAGGTAAAGAAGATCACAGGTGCTGCTGTATATATGTGTTCAAAATTTGCTATCACCAGAGTAATAAATGAAACCTGTGGATGCCTTATGAGGGCAGCACCCCCTGAGGCAGGCTCCACGTTATTGTGTTACTGTCATAACTACTCACTGCAAAGCACCTTTGACTAAAAGCCAATATGACACCTAGCGTAACTCTGCTGACTCCCCTGAAATTACACAGCTGATTAATGTTGTCCCTTAAGGCGTGAAAGAAGTGATAAAATTATTTACATTTCATTTATTTACACCGAGTGCAACTTTAACTGCAGCAGTGAATGATGCAGGAGTTGCCTGTAAGACTGAATGAAGTTACATTTCATCTGGTCCTTTGACCATGAACGTGGTTTTTGCTATGCAAGAACGAAGGGTTTAACTCCAGCAGGAGTTAATTCATGTTGGGCAGAAGACTGATGAGCACTCCTGGCAGTCCATTTACTGAGACACACACAGTACTGCAAGGTACTGGGGTCCATCCTCCCTTTAAGCTGACTGTGTTACGGACTGTGGCCAAATCCAGGAGACACGAGGACTGAGACACTTACCACAGGGTCTACACATACGAAGACTATGCTCTAAACAAGAGCAATACACGAAGAGGCTGCTCTGTTGACCAGCTTTTGTTCGTGTCCTGCTTTGTACCTATTGCAGAATTAAACAATACTGAAGTTATGGCACTGAAGTTATACAATTTGTGACAATTCCTCAAGGAAAGCTTGCATGCCCTAAACCGACTGAGACCTGCCATTAGAGGCTGGATGAGGAATGGTTTTCCAGACATACAAATAAAAAGACAACAGGATTTCAACTCAGTGTTTTCATTCCTGCCCCAGGACAAAGAGAATTTTTAAAGTTCCTTATAATCATCTGAGGCAACAGAACCCAGTTTGGCAAACAGGTCAGTCACTGGGGCACTCTGGGGATGTGGGGCACTCAGGTCCTCCTTATTCCCATTCCTCCAACATACTCCCACAGACCTGCTGAGTGTCCTACGAACACAGGGCAGGATTAATCTCTGCTTCTCAGTCAGTAGGAAGCAGGAATTGCTCCACTCTGCAGGAAGTTACTGGGAGAGAAAGGCTGACTCCACCTTTCCATTGCTGTGGCACTTGGCCGGGATGTTAGAAAATCTCAGGTAAGTCCATGGTCCAGTAAATACGTGATTATTAAACAGCTTCAACATAAGAAACCTGAGAGATAGCTACCCAGAATATCCAGCCACTTGGCAATTAAAATGCTTACATGGGATATGAGGCATCATGATTCAAGCCCGTAGCCTGAGCTGTGATGCTTTGAACCTTGATGGCGTTGCTCCAAATACATCGACCTCTGGAGAGGGAGGGAGTCACTCAGTCTTCCTCCCAGGTGGAGCTACTCCCCTGCACCTGAGACAGCTTTTATGGGATGAATTAGACAAAAAGATGAGTTTCATAAAAGCTGGTGTGTATCCATGAAAAGGTCTGGTTCAGCATTCCCCCTCTCCCAAAACTACAGTCCTAATACCACATAGAATCGTTTAGGTTGGAAAAGACCTTTAAGATCATCAAGTCCACAGGACACTTGAGCCAGAGGTGGGGGATCATCAGAGTCTATCACAGTGCTGATATTGGCCATCCCTGGAGACCTTGATTTTGGAAGACCAGAGTGAGACTCAGAGGTGTGGATGAGCTCTGAGGGTGTGAGAACAACCTGACCATTTGTGCATTTGAACTGTTTGTATTTGAACATTTTGCTGTTACAGGAGAGGAGCGGGTGGTGTGCACTTGCTTTGTCTACATCCATGTCTGGATGTAAAAAGTGTGAGCTGGCATTGAGGAATGTTAAATGGAGTTTCAGTAATGAAGACCCGAGTTCCCAAAATTGCCTTGGCAGGATGCACACTTACTGAGCAGTCTGACTGGCAACGGAGCAGCGCTTTCAGTGTTGGTATATATACAGCGAGTAAACGCGTTCCTTTAATCCTTGTTTAACCTAGCAGCTCCACCTACCCTGTAGACTGACATTCTCACGTATTCATTTAATATGCTCAGCAAAAACACCTCCTGAGCCATCTCCTCTCCTTTCTCTGCCAGCTAAGTGCAGAGGTTCCAAAGATCTGCCTGCAGATTCACAGTGTAAGTCCGTTCATCCTGTCCCCAAGAGCAGATGCTGCTCGGATGTGCACGTAGGCAGTGGCACTGATTATGTTGGGAATTCCCTCCTAAGCTCCAACCATCAGCTAGATATTTTGAATTGGAAGGTACCTCCGGTAAATGGTATTTAGTAGCAAGCACCACTTAATATCTCTATTGGAGGGAACCCAGCTAAATCTAAGTCGCTTTTAATTCCTCTGGCTCCGTCAGTGAGGATGTGAGATAACCCTGACTTTGTAGTGTAGATCCTTTTCTCGGAGACTTCCATAGGTGTGATCATTCCACAAATATTATCCACTTGCTACAGATCCCAGCCTTCTACTCACTTTATAAATATCAACAGTTCTGAGGAAATCAATGGGCTTACTAATCTGTGTAAAGTAAACAGCATTTTGTCCTTAAAAATAACAACAGTCACCTCCAGAATCTGGTGCATTCAGCCAACCTGCTTAAAGATTGCAGAATCGGAATCATGGAATGATCTGGGTTGGAAGAGACCTCTGGAGAGCACCGAGTCCAACCCCCATTAAAGAAGGGCCAACTTCAAAGTTAGGTCAGGTCACTCGCAGTGCTGCCCAGATGAATTCTGAACGTCACCAAGGATGGAGATTTCACAGCCTCTCTGGACCCATTTCAGTGTTGACCACTCTCCAGGTGAATATTTCTTTCCTTATTTCTAACTGGAATATCTGATGCTGTTGCATTCATTGCATCCTGTCCTATCGCTGTGCATCTCTAAGAAGAATTTGCCCCCACCCTCTCTACACCCTCCCCTCAGGTAGCTGGAGACAGCAGTAAGATTTTCCCCTTAACCTTCTCTTTTTAAGATTTATAAACTCAGTTCTCCCTCTCTTTATACATCACATACCACTCCGCTCATCATCTTGATGACCTTCCACTGGACTCCCCCCAGTATGCCAGTGTCTGTCTGAGGACCCCAAACTGGACATAAAATTCCAAGGTTTGTTGGAGAGGGGAAAATCATTACATCCCTTGACCTGATAGCCACACTCTTGCTCATATAAGCCGGGATGCTCCGGGATGTGCAATGGCACATTGCAGACTGAAACTTCTCGCCCGAGAGGCCACCCAGGTCCTCTTGGGCAAAACGCTGTCTGCCCGGTCTGTACTGTTGTGTGGGGTTCTTCCATCCCCGGTGCAGACCTTTTCATTGCCGTACATGCTATATATCTATGTGTGTGTATATATATTAATGTATTTGTCTACATTTTCTATTTCCAGTTAGTACTCAACTGACCCGTTCAACTCCGGAATGTGCTAATATATATTTTTAAAAGTCCAGTCAGTAAGATAATGAAAACATTCATATTTTTTCATTAGAACATAATCTAGTTTTACTTCTTCAGATTTAATACCTTTTATTTCCATTTCCCGTTAAATGTAATTTTTGCCTGTTTGTTCCTGAAGCAAAAAATAACAGTATCTTTTCAGGAGCACATATTCCATAATTTGTGCTTGATTCTGTTAATTCTGGGCTTCATAGGCTTCTCTGGGAAGGGCCCACGCAACAAAAAGCTCTCAGTCCCAGCAGTTGCTAAGTGTTTTGATCAATCGAATGACAGTCAAGGATGTTTGGCATCTTGCAAACCAGGAATTTTAAATCAGAAGGCTTTATGAAAGCCTGCAAACCCCGTTTGTCCTTTGAGTTGTAAGTAAAAATCCTACCCGTTCCAAAATTGTCAGTATTCATGTGTATAAAAGATAAAATAATCATCTCTCCCCCAAAAAGATGGCAGTATATTTCCAAAATTATGTTCTAGTCTCTAAGGCTACATCTGTTCCAGTAACTACAATAGGCCAGGTCCTGTTCTCTGGCTCGGAGGACGAATATCACAGCACGGCATGAGTCCATATGGGGAAATTCCCATCCCACCCAAACAAGGTCCTGGGCCTGTTTTGGATACGCTTCACGTGGTAGCACGGAGACCCAAGTAGCAGCACTAGAAAACATCTCGTTTCTTTAGCCCTTGTTATTGTTACTTTGCTGGTTTCCACGAAAAAGTCCGGAGAGAGATTCAGAAAAGGCAGCAGAAAGCACCCGTCGGGTTTTGCCCTCCGTAATCCCACCAGCACAGCAGGCATCGGGCACGCCCCGACCGTCTCTTGCGTTTGTGTGTTCTCCCTCGCTCTCTGGAAGTGCAGCTCACCGGCAAGTGTCATCGTCCCCCAATTCCGACACTTGATGCCCTTCCTGCCTTCCTTCTCCCCGCCAAGAGACGCAGACTGTGAGCCCTGTGTTAGCGCCTGCCGGCTTCTCACATCATGTGCCAGCTCCTACCCAAAAGCTCTGTGGACCCGTTACGCCGGGATCGTCCGGAGAAGCTGGGTGCCAGCGCCAGCACCGCCCTGCCTGAATGCGGTCCAAGGCTTGCAGGCTGGAGCTGGCTGGCATCCCTGCCTGGAGCCGGTGCAGGGGGAAGCCTGCTCGGTGGGGTTAAATTCTGCCTTTTGCTATGAGGCCCAGAATCCCACTGCTCATCACAAGCAGCGCGATACAAACCAGGTGAAATGCTGCAACATTTCCTGAATGTTTAATGAAATGCTGTTAATTTGACGATTAATAACCATAGCCAAGCGATAAGATTATTTCTAATAAAAGGCCCGCCAACCGCTAGCAAGTTAGGAAACGCCAGAGCAGAAGTTCTCAGCGACATAACCCCCTGCCCCGTCCCCCCCTCCCCAGAAGAGCCAGGGTCACTAACGGGGACGCTGACCCGGCCGCCGGCCCGTGCGGGAGCGGCGGAATTCCCGTCGCACCTCGCCTGGAGCCGGCGCAGGGGGAAGCCTGCTCGGTGGGGTTAAATTCTGCCTTTTGCTATGAGGCCCAGAATCCCACTGCTCATCACAAGCAGCGCGATACAAACCAGGTGAAATGCTGCAACATTTCCTGAATGTTTAATGAAATGCTGTTAATTTGACGATTAATAACCATAGCCAAGCGATAAGATTATTTCTAATAAAAGGCCCGCCAACCGCTAGCAAGTTAGGAAACGCCAGAGCAGAAGTTCTCAGCGACATAACCCCCTGCCCCGTCCCCCCCTCCCCAGAAGAGCCAGGGTCACTAACGGGGACGCTGACCCGGCCGCCGGCCCGTGCGGGAGCGGCGCAATTCCCGTCGCACCTCGCTAAGCACATTTCCAGAAGAGCCCAGGTACAATTCCAGGGGGACGGTAACTTTCTGCGCCTGGTGACGGCAGCGGCCCCGGG